TACAGATTTCAGATCTTGCTATGCTCCAAGTATATGCTAAAGAGGAGTTTTAACCAGTGGTACTGACCTATACAGCTTAGTACATTAGGTTACCTGCTCAACAGTTCACGCTTCCCAAGGAGGAAGAATGGATCCAAGTCTATCAAGACATGATCACGCAATGTACAAATGCAGATCAATCCTCTCAGAGTAAATATCTTTCTTTCTACATCTCGTTCATTACATACCCCATTTTGGAATGAAAACACCAAAACAAACTGCTTTGTTTCATTGTTATCCCTTACAAGAATCCAAATTCCATTATTCACATGCAAATGAAAAACATATAAGCAATCTTGCTTTGTTAAAATTTAGTGTGTGTTTCTGTATTACCAGGCTGTCTTTCTTCTCCTGCCACAGCACTAACAAAATACTGCTCTCTGCTAGATTGCTGTATTAGGTGTGAACATAAAAATGGAAATGAATACATTTCCACTGAAGGACCTTACTCGAACAGGATGACAGGTCTGAAATAACACAAAAGCACGCTTCACAAACATTTTGCTTCAAAAGGATAAGTCAACCCTCAAACTTTGCCCTCTACCCATGCTTAGGAATTATTTCTTCAGACTTCAGACTGTGTGTGTAAGGTTTGGCTTTTTCACATCCTCCTCTCTCTTCAGTGAGAGAAGCCTAGCTACAGGTTGCTTGTGACAGTCATGCTTCATTTCACAGAATGGTTGAGGTTGGAAGGGACCTCTGTAGGTCATCTGGTCTACCCTTGCTGCTCCAGCAGGGCCACCTACAGCCAGTTGCCCAGGACCATTATCCAGGCAGCTTTTGAATATCTCCAAGGGTAGAGACTCCACAACTTCCCTGGGCAACCTGTGCTAGTGCATGATCACCCTCACAGTGGAAAAAGTGTTACCTAATGTTATAAGGCATGGGATATGCCTTTGGTCAGTTGGGGTCAGCTGTCCCAGCTGTGTCCCCTCCCAGCTTCTTGTGCACCCCCAGCCTGCTCGCTGGTGGGGTGGGTTGAAAAGCAGAAAAGGCCTTGACTCTGTGCAAGCACTGCTCAGCAGTAATGAAAACATCCCTGTGTTATCAACACTGTTTTCAGCACAAATCCAAAACATAGCCCCATACTAGCTACTATGAAGAAAATTAACTCTATCCCAGCCAAAACAAGTATACTCTCAGCCTTTCTTCACAGGAGGGATGCTCCAGTCCTTTAGTCACCTTAGTGGCCCTTCACTGGACTCCCTCCAGTATGCCCATGTCTCTCTTGTACTGGGCAGCCCAGAACTGGACACAGCACTCCAGGTGTGGCCTCACCAGGACTGAATAGAGGGGAAGGATCACCTCCCTCGACCTGCTGGTAACACTCCTAATGCAGCCCAGGATTTGGCTGGAAAAGGCTCGTTTGCCTTCTTCCATTTTGGAAACGGCATGCTGCTGCTTCTGTCAGCTCAAACAGGAGACGGATCCCTTGTGGCAGTGAAGTTTGTCTCCCGGATACTGCTTTGTGTAGCACAGTTAGCACAAAGAGGATTGGTAAGGGCACTATCAGGTCAAGGTGCTGTTTCCAGCTTCACTCCAGGTTGTACGTCTTTTTGTCCCTTCAGTTTTTTGATAAATCACAGCTTCTCACAGACAATACCACTGAGACACAACTAAATGAAAAATTCCCTCCTTGACACCCCAGTTCACAGTTAGCACCATGATTCTTTCACACAGTAGCTAAACACTTCTGAATAACACAATTTAATATATTTGAAAATACATTTGCATATTACAGGCAATCTTAGGAAATGCTTCACCTTTCACAAACCAGTGGCCCGCGTCTCTCATTGGGGAAGACATACAGTGACACCAATTCTGTCAATACCTGATATTTCTAAGGCACGCATTTGCAAACCACTTTAGGAAAACACTGCCATAGGAATACATTTTATATTTCATTACCATTAAAGCTTCTTTCAGTGAAGAGATAAATTGGCTGTGTAACCTGAGATTTTCTAAAGCAATGCAAAGCTCTCAAACTTACTGTTTTAAAAGCTGCAATAAGGGACACAGTGCTTTTTATTTTTGTACAGATATTTACCTTTTGATGAATCAAAAAAGTCACTTTGCCCAAAACCAAAATGAAACACAAAGCTCAAAATTCAAAAGTTTTCTCTATAGGAAAGGGTGCCGCAGGCATTTGGAGCCCATCAGTTACATAGCTCAGATCCAGCTTCTGTGACAGGTCTGATGATGCCGCATTGCTAATGTGATCCAGCCTTAAACATGGTACAGCACCTCTTGCCTTCCCCTTCTGTCTCAGCAATTCAGGCTGCAGTCCTAGCTTTGCAGGGCTGCCTGCAATTGTCATGCAGTGGAATAACTTGTGATTTCTGAATTAAAATACATCATACTGTTCTATTGGGGAATGAGTGCCATGACCATGGAGTGGTCACTGGGTGAGGGAAAACAAGGGTGAACCTTAATTTACCTTTATACTAATTTATTGAAATTAACTGAGTGTTGCACGGCTGGAGCCCAGATAATGCTCCAGGTTTATGACTGGTTCTTCTACAACTTTCATACAAGTGTTCAAATTACATTTTAACATATGAGTGTATTTACTTTCTCTCTTACAAAATACAAATACAAAACCACCTTCTAATATCAGTTCTGTAATTTTGTATTCAGAATTATGTTCAGTATTATCAGACATTCAGGAGAAACAGAGCAAATGAATTTTTGTAAAGTGAAATCACTTATAAAAGCAAAGTGAAAAGACGTGTATCCAACATCAGTTATTATAATCACAAAGAGCTGAAATATAGCAACAATGTCTCATCTGTACATATTGAACAGCAAAAGAGTAAAAAAAATATATATATACAACAAGCCTAATAGGGAAACAAACCTGAAAGAGTTCCCTACTGCTCATGGATCAGACAACTTTCCCTTAAATTTTGTAGTGCATTCCCTCTTATTCACAAGAACTAATGGATTTTATCTTCCTGTTCTAAGGCGAACTGAAAACAATCAAATTTTCCTTCAAATCAAGAACAGTTGTGAACTAGTGAATTAATACATATTCACCTGAGATCATTCTGAAACGTAGGACAAGATCAATAATGATTAACAACTAAGGTGCACAACCATTTTGTCATTTTTAAAGAGAAACAGCATTTATGCAGAACAGTTTTTGCTACAGGACAGTAAAACTACCATCTGTAAAGAGAATTATTGAAAACAGCATAGGAGGAGACACTATGAGGACCGTAAGCAGCTTACTCTTCTACTTTCTTCTATTCAATATTGTCCTGCTCCCAACTTTCTGTAACATAAAAAGAGGGAGGGGAAGGAAGGATAAATGGAAAAAAATAATGACTAAAAATATTTCTTCTGTAACTCAGTTTATTTCATGCTTATGTCAGTTTCTCTCAAATCCACTGACTGACTTCAAAGTAGTTCTATCGTAAATACTACAGGTAGATGCATTTCATCTAGGTCAAACAGCATAAAGCAAACCACAAAGCTAAATATAGTTTACATCTGTATCCAGCTCTGATTAATGGGTGGAATTAACCCTGAGATAAAAATAAATGAGCCAATGCTTCTATCTTCCTTTTATACCTGGAATTAGTTATTTAATCCTTTCTAGAGTAATTCTGTTGAATACAATTGGTATCTACTAGTGACATGTTCAAACAAAATCAGCTTGCCTACTGATAACTACTTAAAAGCATCACAAAAGTACATTCATCCAGGCACTGAAAAAGTCACATCTGCAATGGTAAACAGAGAATAACCATTCATAAATTCCACTGAAGAAAGCAAGGTCAAAGCTAAAGGGGCTGTCCTGTACTATGTTTTCGTCTCAAGAAACAGAGCCATAGTGATGTTTGGAGGTGGGAAGGATCCAGGCAAAAGTGAAAAGGAATATTTTGTCTACTTATTTTTTGGTCACTCTAGGACATGCATCAGTACCGTATATGCATGTACCAGGTCATGAAATCATTTAACATTCAGTTCTCCACTCTCATAATTTGGGTATGTATTATTATCTTTAACAAGTGGTACATGAGAGGGGAAAAAAAAAAAAAATCACAGAAGAAACCCATGCTGCGGCTAAGGACTAAATTCCAATTTCTAGCATCTCATGCCAGTATTTTAATCAAGAGACCATCAGGCAGAAATGCATCATTCATATGCAGCCTTAATTGTCTGTTTGGCACAGCTACTTAGTGACTACACCATGTGAGAGCAATAAAATCAGAGGGGACAGTTGTGTCCTGCTTACAGAAGTGCTCAGAAATACTGAGAAGAATGAATGCACACATGTATCAGAGTACCACAACACTGATGAATCTGTGTAGGGACAATAAGTAATAAAATAAGTAAGACTAAGATTCAAACACAGATCCTGCAGAGATCAGGTGTGTCACAGGAAATATAACCTCCAAATTGAAAGGAAATCTATGGCTACCATGCTTACAGGCAAAAAAAACAACCAATCCAAAATCACTTTGGCACGGCCTATGGCAAACAAAGCTATGATTTTATAAAACTTGTATCTCTATCACTGCAGATTAAATCCAAGTATTTATTTTGGGATGTCTTCATTGTATCAATGCATCAAATACAATTACAGGTGAATATTAATGCAAAATAAAAAGCCATGTCAACATAGTGTACTCAAAGTGATCCAAACTTGCAAACTGAAGTAACAAAAAAAGAAAACACAATTTTTAAATGTATTTTCATTGTATCTTCAAACACTAACACAGCTTGATTTTGTACAGCATCCTACATATAAGCTGTACCCAAAACACTTAGCAGACTTTAATATCACAATTGCAGATTTAAGTAGCAGAAAACAATTAAGTGCTGCAGACAAGGAAGAAAACATAAGCTCTCAGATGGGATTTGAAACAAAAGGGAGAATCAAGATAACTTTGTCTCCTGTTTTAAGTCTAGAAGAAATAAATGCCATAAAGCAGTAACAAAATGATTCAGTTTACCTCAATAGCATAATCCATTTCTCTGATCTCATATAATCATTTCAGCTTGTTTCTGAATTGGGAAACTCTTTTTCTGGAGAGCTGTCATCACTGAGGTCACTGTAGCTGTCACTGTTAAAAGCAATACATAGTCAGAAGGATCTAAAACAAATATTTTATTTCAAACCCTCCAACGCAGATGATGCATATGACCAACACTTTCCTCAAATGCAACCCATTTCCAGAAAACTACTTTAAGCTCATGCTCAATTTTGGTATTTTAGAACACCTTCCTCTACAGGAATGGGCTTAAGTTTGGAGTCCAAGACCTGATGAGAAAAAATATTCTACCTGATAAACAGTACGTTCAATTTATTTTTGCTTGGCTCCTGTACATTAATTCTACAGTTTGCTGTAGAATTCACACAGTTTGTGTGCCTGGGACCATGATTAACTACATGGAGAATAACAGGTATTCAGAGCAAGACTAAAAGGAATTTCTCCTTTATGGTAAAGAAAATGATTGTTTTGACCAAAGAAAAAGTTAAGACAACTTTAACTTTATTTAGTCAGAATGCTTCAATTTATACTTAAATTACAATTCTTGCTTTTCCAGTCAGAACATAAATCATTTTCATTGCACCAAGCAACATCCTGACAGTTTTTCCTGATGTTTTATCCCCTTCTGCTGTTTCCTGAGAGAAGCAGATTGGTTTTCACAGAACAAACTGCCATGCAAGTGATCATTTTATAAGTGGCCAGAACAAATAAACAGTGAAGGACAGGAATCACCACAGCGACTGAGAGAAAGAAGTGCCCACAAACCACATTTTCAGTCAGCTGTGATGTCTATTTGGTCTCCAGGTTTATCTTAACTCTAAGTGCACAAACTGCACCTCTTCAGAAGAACCTCCAGCCTCAGCCTCCCCCAACTATGCTTCACTTCAACAGTCTGTTTTCCAGATACGTCACTTTCCCAAGATCAGAAGCCAGCAAAGGGAGTCCAGGGAACTGACAAGTACATTCGAGCAGCAATAGTTCTGGCCAGTTCTGTGACACTTCAGAGAGCAAGCTATGGTTAACATAGTACAGGTGGGGATCTCAGACCTCATTTGTGTGGGTACACCAGTGTCAGCCTTAGGTACCAACTCTACTCCAGCCACTGCACGCCTGTCTTGTCACATCTCGCTCTTATCACATACACCTTCATCCTCCAGCCGACAGGACCTCAGTCACGTCACGCTCCCTACCTCTGGCACGGTCTCCCACTGAGACATCAAGCACATAATCAGCCCATGGCCCGCCTAGACACAGCCTCATCAGTTGATCCACGGTGACTGACTGCTGTGTAATGCTTCGAGGGGAACTATGTAACCCCGCAGCTGGAGATCTTTGATTTAGACTGCAATGTGGAACAGTGAACAAACTGCACTCAGTTATACTGGTGCTTGTTATGGAGCACTGCTCTGTAGCCTGAATTTCACCCTCTCTCCTTTAAAAAAACAAAAATTACAACAAAAACCCCCAAAGATTAGGTAAAAACAGAGCCATTTTAATAGAGTGGGTCAAGAGAAGTGGCACCAACAGTCATCTCATTTAATTTCTACTTCTGACTGTTAGGAAAGTCTCCCACAGTTACAGCAAATCCCCGTGCCAAATTCTGTACAAGACAGAGTAGATATTCCGACTGTTCTAACATTAAGACTTTGTCTACAGTATTCTGCCCTTTCTTTGCATGACAGGCATGTTGTGGATGCAGTTCTTATAAAGAGTGTGTCATATCAGGCTAGCGAAAAATGCTCAATTTGATCATTTCACCAGCTGGCAAACAATTACACAGTTCAAGTGAGGAAAGTGTTATTAACAGTATGATCAAGCATGCCAGATGCACACAGACAAACACAACATCACCGACATTGTACTTACTTCGTTCTGAAAGTACCCATGGAAACATGGAATAAAAATTCAGTATTATTAAAACAGTTTTGCATTTTCACATCACAGCAAAATACCAAAAATTGTCCCCAGAACAGAGGGTAAAACTGTGATTGCAGAGAGCTGTGTAATCTCATGATAGCCCAAAGTCTTCAGAGAACTTTTTTTCTTTTTTAGTGGGCTCTGCTGCCCAGTGGCAGTCACAGCCCAAAAACATATGCCAGAGCTCCATATACAACACAGTATGGGAGACAGATGCTTAAGTAAAAATGCTCAAGGACCAGTGAGGTAAGTGGAGAACTGCCCAGCTTGATCTCTTGAAGACAGTTAGGTGCTGATCCCCACCCAGCACTCTCATCATCAGTCCTCCCCACTCAGTGACATAGGTTTTAGAGGCATTTGCCCATAGAAGCAGTCACACAACACTGGCTGCTTCTGTCATTTCATTGACTTATCACCCCAGCTTCTCAGGCCTGTTTCCAGTTTCCAGAAGCTGAGGGTCACTTGGCTAGCCACTAGCCCAGAGGTTAAAACACTTACTCGGCCAATGACAATTTTGTTCCTATTCCCACACTGCCCAATTCAGTACAAGGTTTGACTCCACATCCCGGAGTAGGGCTCTTGTCACCACATTATTGACTGTTTTGCAGTAGCACTTCATGGCCTCTCCTACTTTAGGGCTGTCCTGCTGGGTGTAAGTCAGGTTTGTTCCTAACAGGCAGGCCACAGTGGCAAGAAAGGTAGGGGAAATGCCCAGGTAAGGGTCAGCCCTTGGGCTTCAGAGTCAGGTAACTGTCAGTCTCTCAGTTTCAGTTGCTTGAATGGTATCTCTAAGCACCACCAGAAGCTGTGGCATCATGTTAACAAGAAGAACTTGGGTTCCAAGGAAGCCTGAACTTCTTCAAGAGCTAAGCTGCCAGTGTCTTGAAAACAAACAGGGACTCATGAATCTTGGCATATCTGCACCCAGGTGCTATAGCTTCAAACCAGTGCTGATGTCCAGTCTGTAAGATTTACCGTGATATGAACTGTGTTCAACTGGTAAGTAATCTGAAGAAAAACTCCAGGTGGTATTAACCACAAATGAGTCATCACCTCTCTTAGGAATAAATGTGTACTTCCTTCCAAATTACACTGAGCTGCTACACAGATATTAAACACAAAAACCAAATGCATATTTTGTGCTCACAGTTGCTAATATTACATAATTTTACTGAAATGTGCTGGCTATGAAAGTGGCAGTGGTGGAAAATCAAATAAGTCCAGCTTTTCCTTTATGAAATTCTTTTTCACATTGAGCCCTCAACTGAAAAAATATGCTGACATTTCCTTCAGCAAGTTTTCTCTCAGTTTGTGTACAAATTAATTAGCAATTATCTTGGGCAGGAACCCGACAGCCACTTCATCTTGTTTGTAACCATTCCCACAACAGTGGACCCCAACAAAAAGGAGCTAGTGAGCAGATCTAAGGCCATCGCAGTGGTTCTAGTCTTTTTTTTTTCATGGCATCTGGAGTAGAAAGATGCGGGCAAGAGAAAAACAACAAAACTGAGTATGCAGTGTCACTGCATCTAGTCAGTCACTTCAGACTTTAAGATGAAGAATTTTAGTCACTTTGATCCTTACACCTAATCTACTTGTAGTTAATGGAAATACACTCACTGCAAGGTGAAATATCAACCAGTACCTAGCTGGCATTTCATTTTGCAGTGAACTGCAACATATTTCCTGACTGGAGCAAGGAAAACATCCTCTGTTGAGAAATTACATTATGGGATTTTGTTTTGTTTTAAAGTTCACTCATCCTCGGATCCCCGTCTTCTCAAGTTGTAAGCAATAAAAAGAGCTTCCCCCTGCATGTACTCCATTATTACCAAATTCATGCCCGTTTCAGATCTCTCTGTTCTACTGACGGAAGTATCACCATACCTCTGCTATGCATCCATCTAAAGCACGGAAGCAGGCAAGATGAGAAGATTGCCCATCGGTATGGTACGGAAGGCAGCCACTAGCTGGGGCCACATGGCATGAAGCTGGATTGCATCACCTCAGCCACCAATCTCAGCTGCAAAATCACTAGAATTAAGACTCAGGATCAATTTTAAACCTGTATTTCTCAAACAGCTGCTCAAAAGCACCAAACTGCCTGCTTTCAATACTTTTATTAAGAAACACAGGCAACTGTAAAATGGGTACTCCCTGAAAGTTGTTTGTTTCATTTGGAAAATCCAGATGAACTTTGTTTAGAAATGAAGTGTTTGACAGTTTCAGAGGGGCTTTTTTCATCCTTTTTTAACGTATAATTGACAAAAGAGTCCTTTTCCAGAAATGTAAGCAATTCAAACAATTGTTACAGTAATGCTATTCTGTGCAAAGGCAGGAGCCAAGCTAACTGCATTTCTTCCTCAATGCAAATGCCCCCCCTCACCTGGGGCCTCCACCAATGGGCCCAGGAGCCCTGGCTCCCAATCCTTGCCTCAGCTATGTCGCAGGCATGCCTGTACCCATCTCTGTAGTTCTGTAGTCACTTGTTGACTGGACTTCCTGGATTGACCTCAGACCTAACTCATCACTTTGCACTTCTGCACTGCACTGTCTGTAGGATATCGTGACTGTCACTGGAGCCAGTCCACTTGCCTTCTTTGGCGACTGTGGTACTGACTCCTGCTGGTGAGGACACTACCCCTACCAGTACAGTTGCCACCCCAGCTCCTGGATTGTCTTCTTTTGTGGAGCAGCCCCTCTCTTGCTGCTCTCTTGACAGACTTCAAACCACAAGATTTCCTTCACTTTCCTCCGAAATGTCTGGATTTGGCCAATGGCAGAAATACGATGCTGTACTAGATGTGTTCTTGGTTGGGAACAATGTACAGGGGACATCAGAGATAGCCCTGCCCATACCTTCTTTGTCCATCATGCACCAGAACATGTCACACAGGCTGCTTCCTGTTCTGTTTATAGGTGCTTGCCCAAACCTCCCTACCCAGCTGATTGGGGCGATAGCTGGACCATGTTAGTGCAGTAAGCACCATATGGGAAAGTCTTTTGAGTTGTTTTTTTTCTTTATGCACCACTCCTTCTGTCCTCTGGCCACTTTTGTTCCTTGTCTCTGAATTCAACTCATAACTCATCTGTTACTAATAACCTGCCCAGAACTTAACAGAGTACTCTGTGACTAGATGGCACTGGATTGGTGCCTCATATTGGCATATTCACTAATGACTTGCAAAAATGTCTTTTGGCAGCAGTCCTAGTTGCCCACACTTTCTCACCTAGCAACGTCTCTCACTTCCTGCATTTCCTTCCATCTACTGGACATTTGTGTTTAAATTATTTATCTTTAGCTTGTTGCCCTCTTCCTCCAAAGAAACACAGAATTTCATTAGTTTCAGCACAGGTATCTAAATTCCCAATATATTTTTATGTTATTTCTTTGTTCTGAATAGTGCTTTCAGCTCTTATTTAAATGGCATTATTTGCAAATATTAATGCACCGTGGCCTACTCTTGCAGGCCATTAATAAAGATGTTGGTTGAGGGGAAAGAAGAAACAAAGCCTGCTGATTCTAAACTTGCTATGGGGAAAAAAAACCAGCAACATGGCTTTATTGTACATCAGTAGTTTTGCAATCCATATAACACTGTTCCCAAAGATAAGCCAGTTTTTATTACTTTTTCCAAATGAAACTCTGCAAGACTCAGTAAAAGCCAACAGCATTACATGTGAAGCTCCCCTCTTCATCCACGCGTTTTCTATCAAAACCTTTTGGTTTCTCTTAAAAAGCAGTATATTTGTGGGTGTTGTACACTTTCTGAGAGTCTCCCGTGGTTCTGGTTTCCTCTGTCCTTTAAAATGAAACATGTAAACTGGTAGCCTCTCACCTTCCTCAGCTCCGTATGAAATGGTGACTTCAGTATTTCCATGGAAAGATTTGGAAAAGGTCATGATTTAAAAGCATTCACAAGGAAATGAAGTGCATGACTGTCTGATGGTTAGGCACTAATGCCATAATGCACTAGAGGCTGAAACCACAGAGGCAACTTAGATGCCCAACTACCACTTCAGGTAACTAAGTAATAACTCATCACTGCGTTACTCCAATCCTTTGCTCAGTTCTTGACTGTCTGTGTACACACCAAAGCTCCTGGGAACTAAGTTTACCCCAGAAGATGCATTCCAGTCTCCAACTAGGTATGCTCCTGCCTATGTGTAAGCATTCTCAGGCTGCCTACCAGACTAGGCCTCACAAAAATTTAAGAGAAGGTTTATTCACTTCTATTTATTTAGGGCACTCTCCTTGGAGGTGTGATGCATCTTTAAATTTACTGTTTGCTTTGCTTAGAAGCTAGGGCTTCTGTCCAGGTGTCAGATGTTCTAAAATTGCATCCTAATTATGGGGCTGTTAAATGTTCTGGGGTAATGATTTGCTGTTAAGAACCTCATGCTGAAATATGTATTTCCTTTTGTCTCAGGACTTCATCATTAACTCTCTTTTTAGTGCTTTTAATAGCCTAGTTTAGGTAATCTGCTCAAGTTGCTGGCCTCCACAAATTCTCTTTCAGGTTACATCTTTGCTCTAGTCAACAGCGTGACTACAACTCATGTAGGCAGTGCTGGATGAGGTGTGCAGAAAATCCTCTCCTCAGATTTGTTTCAGTCCTGTTACGACATGCCTTAGCTTTACTGCTCAATGAAATCACTAGCACTCTGGGGTTTAAAGGTTTAAATTGGAAATCCTTTCCGCTCAGCAGGTGGATATGTTAATATGAGTGGGTGTGCTGTAATTAGCACTGAAATTCCCTCCTGAACATACTTCCCTGCAAAATGCTCCTCTTTTAGCCTCAAAACGTTTTTCTATTCCAATGCTCTTTCTCAAGACAGAGGGGTTTGCTTGATTGCTGTGTAACTAAGTAAATGGTAAAATTTGTATTTTTATATTTAAAGTTTTGGGGTATGAATTTTTGTCTTTGCTGAATGTTTAAGTGGAGTTTATTGTATGAACATGAAGAAAAAGAGTTGGGTATACTTTTTATTTATTAATTCAAATAAGTGTAAGTGTGGCACATTCAGTAATTGCTGAAACTTAAAGTAGAGGTTAGAAAACATATTTGCTATAATGCTAAGGGATTGAAATTTAAATTATCAGGACACATGCAGATCACTCATTCAAAAAAAGTAATTTTTCTTTGCCTCAGAGAGGCAAATAGGTATACTTATGGGAGGAAGCAGTAAAAAAAAAGGATATTGGGACCTGGGAAGTAAGATGAATTGTGAGGCAGAGAGTGCCCACAAGAGGAAAAGACTGAAGATCACTGTGCCTGAAGACTCCCTCCTGCCAAGCACCACAAAAATTTGACCTGTGTAACACACTGGCACAGATTTTAAAAGGTGGATAATGTTACAACTGCTAATAACAACGACAGGCTAAGGTAATAGGAGTGTTTCAATCCAGCTGTAGTTTGCAGATCCAAAAGAAATTCTCTCTGTATGTACATCATTGCACAATTGGCCAAGGTGAGCAAAGATGAAGTGCATTTATCAAAGAAAACTGATACCCATAAGGAGCAGGGTACCAAAATAGATTGATCTGGTCTGGCTTGGCTATTTTCCATTACTACTGAAACCTGAATAAAATTTCTATTTCTCAAGAAAAGGACCTCATTTTAATAGAAAGCAATGCCCCCCCCCCCAAAAAAAAACCCCACAAAACTAGTAAGTTTGGTGCCCTGTTTAGAGGAAAAGCCAGTAAGCCAGAGTTGGATCTGTTCTGTGTTATTATTCAGTCATTCTGTGACTTTTTTTAATAACTTTTTTTCTTTTTTGTTATTGTACCCTAGGCTTACCTCTGACCTCTTTGTTGTTGTAATGAATTTGTAACTGTTATTAATATCATTGAAATAAACAAGAATGAGGTAACACTGGCTAAAAACTATTGCTACATTCAATAAACCAAAAACTCTGTGTCCAGGAAACTGGGATAATGGATTTTAGTTTGGCTGAACCATCCAGTTTTGATCTAGATCCAAACCCTTCCGTAAGTGTAAAGATATACCAACTGTTTTGTTTCAGGCCTGTCTTTGCTAGATGGTATTAATTATTTAGCTACTGCAAAATAAAATCAGTGTTTTCTTTTTTGTTACTATCATCATTCAAATACAACTAGGTAAGAATTTCACTTCATTGCTTGATCCTTTACCAAATCTCTTTC